TTACATGATAAAATTCATGAAGATATAGAGGTTTTTCAATATAAAAAAGAAAAAAGCTTTGAAAACTAGGTTGAAGAAGAGAAAGACAAAATAAAATTTATAAAGATACATAGGTTTTTTAATACATGGAAGAAAGATCTTTAAATACTAGGTTGAAGAAGACAAAGAGAAGATTGATGAATTAAAGATATTGAAGTTAGATTTAAAGTTGAATTATCTAACCTCAACTTCAATAAAAATAAGAACTCTAAAGACTTAAGATAAGTACATAAATAGTTCTTATATAAAAATATAGAAGAAATATCTTATGATTCTTGAGGTGAAAATCCAAATGTTCATTTGATGACCATGCTAGAGATACATTGCTATTTCTAATAATTAAATTTTTAAAATTATAATTTCAACAAAATTTACTTAATAAAGATAAGTGATGTTTTTGAATGGAACTTACTTACTTTACCAAGAGTGTTACAAATCATAATCAAAGATAGTAAAAATTGATTTATATTACACATCAAGCGAAGAAGATTGAATAAATAGGTAAAAATAAGAAGAAAATAGTATCTAATTTTAATTAAGAAAAAAGAAAAAAATGCACATTCAAGAGGGATATACATCAATGAATATTATATGAGGTTCAACTCTAGTAATTAAGAAACCTATCATATACAAGAGCCTTTGGAGCCATTTAGACTTGATAAGTACAAAAACCAGATTATAAAAACATTCAATTAAAAGTTGGATTTATATAAAACTTTATTTTTTAGCTATCCCCTCTATAAAATTTCAATGTGCAATAGAGTATGCCTTGAAATATGTGAGTAGTTTCTTAAGTTCAAAGAAGTAAGTTGCTTTGTAAGCTCCCATTTTTATAAATGAATTGGAGTCTATATTGAATAAAATAACTCTTGTAAAAGCTCCGAGGTTAGACAAAATAATCTTAGAATTCTTTAAACAAATTTGAAATATTATTAAAATTGATTACCTAGCTATGATCATTGAGGTGGTAAAAAATAATTAGTTGCCTAAGGATATTACATACAACATTATAGCTCTATTATTCAAAAGTAATGCAAAACTAATTGGCAGTCTATCACTTTCTTTAACATGGTGTATAAACTTTACGTAAAGATGTTGTAAATTCATTTATAGCCAAACTTAATAGAGGTGATATCCATTGACAAGTTTTTCTTTTTATCAATATAATTTATCTTAAATAATATCCTCCTTATCTATGGAACAATGGATTAAACAATGTACTTGAAGCAACCACTCACTTTTTTAAGATGGACTTCTTAAAAATTTATGATATGATAGATTAGTCTTTTTTATATATTTTAAGCAATGCTAAAATTTAGATTTCAAGTTGAATATGTAGATATGATTAAAATTTAATTTTATGATATAATTTTAACTATTAAATATGGAATGATAACATGCAACAAACCTACATTAAGGTTTCATGGTTGCAATGGTGCCAATTCAAAAAAAAAGGCTGAAATAGACATGATCAATTTTTTTAGATGCATTGATTTCTTAGTGGCCAAATGGATTCTCAAAGCATGTAAGCTTGACATGTTTAATCTATATATTTTTTTTTTTTTGAAATTTAGACTTAGCAACTTTCAATCTTACTCTCATTGAAAATAGACTCCTTATTTAAAATACTTTATTCTTTTCTAACTTCAAGCCAAGTAAGAATCAAAAGTGTCGATTCATATGGATTTGTCTTGAAAAAGCTTACTTAAGGATTTACAATTACATCAACCTTATTTATTTAATGAAATGGATTGTGAGCCAATTTGGTAGTCCTTATCATTTTCATTTATTAAAACAAGTATCTTTAAAAGAATGAGTTTTTTAACTATAAAAGATTGAACTATGGTGTGTCAAAGACATAAAACACAATTGAAGGCTTTTCTAAGCTTATTAAGCCACAACAAGATTGATTTATAAATTGATAAGATTACTATGTAGAATATTACTATGGGTAAGCTTGTAAACCATTAGAGCTTCTTGTTGTTCAATACAACTTTTCTTATTGGCTTGAGAGAATAGGTCAAATACTTTAGCATTGACAACAATGCCTTCTTGATACATGTGTAGCAAGTTTGTAATGGTACATACTATGCTTGTATGAAGACTGAGTACACATCCACCCTCTTGTTTGTAATTCTCCGCTTCATAGTACTGCCAACTTCTTATTATTTATAATTTGAATGGTATTAAAAAAAAAACATTATCTGAGGTAGTTATTATAGAGTGCAAGTAGTTGAACTAACATGCAATCCTAAACATAAGGTTGTTTATCTATTTTATGAGTAGATTGATACCTTTGCATAAGATCCAAATAAGTTTTAATAGGTGCCTTCAAAGGTTACAATTTTGTTTATGTCATATTCTACAAAACTCAACCGACAACTATTGAGGGCCAAACATGTTATTTCTAACCTTGTAGTAAAAAAATAGATAAGATTACTTTGAAGTGACTATTGTCTTTGTTGGAAGACAATTTAGGTAAAAATTTAAATTAATAAGAAATTAGGTCTCTTGTGGCTGCTTTAATACTATGTTGTTGTGACTAATGCATAGCAAGGTTGCATAAATCAAACTATTAGCTTCTATTGCCATATATGTCTATGATGAATTGATAAATTGATGTTCCATCAATTTTAGAAATGTTCCTTTATTCAACACACTTGGTACTAAAGCATATATATTTTCAATCTCTTCATTTACAATTTTGACACTTATGACATATAACTTCTCTTGCGGAAGCAAAGACTCTTTTTGCATAGAATCTTATGCAACTCAATAATAACATGTGGCCATCTTGAATTAATCTAGTAACAATAGTACTAATACTATGGTAAGGTAGTTTTAATATAGTCTTTTTTGAAGTCCCAATCGTAACAATATCTCCACCTAAGCCACATGTGATTGGTTTGGTTGTAATTTATTCTCATGGCAATGAATGTTTTGTTTATTTGTTAAAAAAAAAAAAAAAAAAAAAAAAAACTAATCCACTTCCTTATCTAATCCACTTTCTTATTTGACTTATGTTTAGGAAACTATTCACTTTACATCTTCACAACACAATAGAGTAAAAGCATTGGTGAGATTATTGATATAAATATAATTTTTTTGTCAAGGGTAGTAAGGTAAACAATCCATTTCTAATAACTTAAACATTTTAGCATATATCCAATAGATAGAAAGATAGAAAAATACATATCCATGTAAGAAAATACAAATGAAGAGGATTTCTAAAAAAATCATACAATTTAGCTCAAAAATAGAATTTATAGAAGTATTTTAGCTGAAGTTTTCCTTCCACCAATTTTAGACATATAGGCCTACTTAATGCCGATTGGTGGTGGATTAAAAAACCAAGAATTCAACTCTTATAAAACCATGATGAATCATATATATTAATACTACTCAATTTTACATAATTTTCTCCAACCTCTAGATGTAAGTATGTAGGTGAGGCCATGAAAATTCAAACATCAGGTTGTAACTAATCAACCATGTTCAAGTTGGATTCTTGTAGGCTATCTTCCTTGTTTTTCTCGTCTTAAATAATATCTCACATCCTTATACTACCTTCCTTATAAATTATTGTAAAAACCCTTATAAAAATAAAATTACAAGAACTCTTCATTAATAAAATCTTTATATAAAGTCTTCATAAAATCCTCGTTTAATACTTCCTCAGGCACCGAATTGAGCACTTTCCGAAGCGGTCAGCCTCCAAACCCAATTATGTCAGAGACCCGGGTTTGTATTCTTGGGTAATATCTCCGATCTCATCCCAGTCGATGATCTTCTTGTCGTAATCAGGCGGTGCTGAAATTTCCATTACCACCTTCATGAATACCACGGATTCATAGCAAATCAGACGACCCATAGATCTACTGCAACATATATACGATTCCAAACTGCAGGTAAATAAGAATTGCACACGTGCAAACAAATCAGGAACCAGCAAATCCTCATACATCCTGATCATTGCTCGTTCAAATACAAAATCACAGTCATTCAATTCGCAAAACCCAAGCAAGTTCTCAATCAAAAGAAAAAAAGAAAAAAAGAAAAAAAGAAAAAAAAATTCCAATGGTTTGCGGCTGTACTTGTCGAATAAATGAAGTTGAGTTCGTAAAGACTGCAAAGCAGCTGACTCGTGACTCGGACCAACCGCAACATCCCACATAGAGCCGACCCTTTCCAAAAACACATGACCGCGCGATGCGTGGCCACCGTCATGAGACTTGACTAGAACATCTAGAAGAGAGAAATCAACTGCGGTTCGCCCGTCCCGATTCAAAGAGACAGCGCCCTTCTCATGGTAAAGGTAATTTGCAAAGAGAGCTGTTGTCGCCATCGCGACGTCGCTAATCACAACAACAACGTAATAATATTAGTCTGTCGAGATCTGCGGGTTTGATCCGTCTTTTATGAACTTGGGCAGAGGGACAGGCTAGCTAACTCCCAACCGTAAGATCCAAAAAGTAGACCGACGGCGAGAAAATCCTAGTGACGAGAACGGTGTACCGTTCATTTAAAAACACGTAAACTCTTAAATGGTAAATTATTTTTCCTCCAGTCTAACCGTTCAGTATAATATTGCAGTAAATTAGCCCACCCATTGTTGACCCACATTTTCCATGTTTACAACATATAGGGTGGGTTACTATAAAGGGCGACTAGGTCTTACGTCCATTGATCGGAAATAGGTCAGGGGCTGGTTAAAATGATGTTAAGTTGTGAGCAGTAAATAAAACTGAACACATTTGCATTCCAGCACTGTTCAACAAATATTTTGACACTATTTTGTCTTAAATTGTGTCAAATAAAATATGACACTAATACGTCAAAAACAATGTCGATAAAACTTGAGGTGGCAAGATTGTAAGAAACTTTTGACTGGGACAATCACTTCAGTACCAAAGACTGAAAGTCTATCAAGAATCGACTCAAAGCTTCATGCTGATTAGGAATACATGTTCAATAGAGCCAAAGTTTCAAATTCTGGAAGATATGGGAAAAAAAACCCTACATGAGGAATTAATGCTGAAGACAAGGTCAAAATAAAATGTTTGGTACAAGAAGCCTTCAGTGGCCACCGCTCACTAATCTATTTATTTTATAATTTTCAGCCACCGTATCTTAAGCAAGATGAAGGTGAGGATCTTAGGTGACCAAGGATCCTCAAGATTGGACAACTGCCAGCCTTTGCAAGTGCTCTACAAAGACTTGCAAGCTCACATCATCAGTAAAGATAATATCACCTCCAGGAACAGGTACATTTGGTGAATTGTACGTTGCAGAAGGATTCAACCTTGCAAGTAGAAACCGGGCTTGAGATTTGTGCTGGTCACAAACTACCAACCTCGGCACAGGAAATCTGTCTGTGATGATACCCTGGGCATCGTCTTGTGGCACTTGAAGCAACTGAGCAAGTGCTACCTGGTCTGGTTGTAAGTGGTAGGCCGCATTTCGCCATTGAGCAACTGTCATACCATGAAAGATGACTACACTGAAGTACGCATCTAAGAGTAGAATTCTATCAGGGGCAATAGATGCCACATCAAGTAGAACAGGATCAGGTGGACTGCTCAACGAATATGAAATCAATGAGGGCTGGATCATGACCAAAGAGTTTGAGACATTCTCGCGGTTCAACACCATTCGGAAGTAAGCTGTTTCATCGGGACTATTATTGAATACCTGTACAAATTGAGACCGCCTTAAATTGAACATAAACTGCGGTAGAAGACCGAGAGTAGATGCTAATCGGAATGAGGTGGGGTCCTCCTTACGGTAGTCCCCAAACCGCTGTGAGACGCGAATAAGCAGCCTATCCAAGAACCTCACGGCATCGAATTCATCTTCTGACTCCATTTTAAACGATGCCCACCGAGCTAAAATAACCGTAGCAGCTTCTTGATCAAAGCCAGCAACCATTTCTTCTGTGCTGGTAGTTGCAGATGATTCTCCCCATCGACGAGTTATTGTGCCTACTCGGAACCTAAGCTGTCCATCACTATGTTGATATTGGGTGACAAACTGAAGAAAAAATTGTTGTGCAGCAGGGCCTGCACTTGAACCCTGTATAGTTGGGTTCACCTCAAAAAAGAATGCAAGTGTCGTGTTTTTGTCAAGACCGCACATCTTCCACGCTGTTGTCCCCCCTTGACCTACGACGATATCTGAAGTAGAAACCCCCTTTCTTCCCAAAGAAGCACACGAACCAATGGCACCCTGTACCTTAACATCCTTTGAGCAATTGATCTCAATTTCACCGTTAAAAGATAAGTTAAGTGAGTGATCCCCAGTTTCAAAGACACGCCTGAAGGAATCTTTGAACACTGAATGCCCGAAACTCTCGGCTAAAACAATCAAACCCCCTGTTAACTCGATCGCACCTTTCATCTCCATCACTCCAACCTATGGAGAAAAGTCAAATTCTGAGACCGAGTACCGTAAGAGAACAAGGGAAGATTATAGAATGTCTAATGTGAAGAGCCTCAGGAAATACATATTTGAAGATAACATCACAAGATCACATCCAAAGAGAACCTTCACTTCTGGAGACTAGGAGCCTCCAGAAACACGAACAAATAGACTCCAGCACAAGATCAAACAGTAACAAATCAAACAAATCTAACACCCACAAAGTCATTGAAGAAATTACCCACCTGGTCCACAGCACAAGCAAACACATCGAGCACGTGTCCTTGTGAAACGAGTTGCTTTGCAAGACTGTCGTAGAACTTCACAGCCTTGATAAAATGAGTTGCTGAAACTTTGGCTAAATCTTTGTGTGATCGTATAGGATCTGTCAAATCCTTTGAAACTATCAGTCCTGGACCCTCAGTGCAGGGTCCGCCAATAAAACTTATGATTCGACCTCCGGTGTCTGGAGAACAAGCTGACAACAATCCAGCTGCAACTTTGAGAGCTGCACCAGTGCATCGCGCGGGCCTCTGATCTGATGTTACTGGGAACGAATCTCTCTGGAGTTCGTCAAGCAACGAGTTAATAGTGAACTCGCAATCGGCTACGGATAGCAGAAAACTCTCTACTCCACTTGAATATGCACCATTCCGATTCCCTGCAAAAGCAGTCTCACCTTCAAGTCAAGATCTCTAGATACTCTCTATAATGAAACTCCTCTGCATATGTGATATTATATGAAAATTATACAGGTGATCACTTTAAAATATAATGCCAGGAAATTTTGAAAAATGATTGTATGCAACATAATTACACCACCGCATCCATTAAGTTCTATTACATACCATTTCAAGTGTCAGTCCTACATTTTCCTCTGGCAGTGGTCACGGCTCAGGTGCTAAGTAAAACGCCAATTCTCGTACATATAGACAACCTTATCATCGGAAGATTGGGATCCAATAATGATCACATTTCTAAACACAAACAAACCATAATTGACAACTACTGTATAAACTTCACAATCAAAACCATTGCCTCAGAGGATTTTCAACTGACCTGCACCAGCACCAGTACCAGCAGACTGATGACCGCCTCGTTGAAAACCCCCAGTTGGCACCGTCGAAAGACCCAGCTGATCGATCACTTGCTCCCTGGGCAACTCCTTGGAACCTCGAAACACGTACGCCTTAGGACAACCAAATTCAGAAAACCCTAATTTGTGGACTTGCACATGTCCCCCAAAGGTGATCAATCCAACCAAAGCATTCTCCGGCATAAGCGAGATCGCCTGCATCAAGGACGTCTTCAAATACCCCAACTCCTCCTCAATGATGCACGTATCAATCACCAGCAAAAACACTTGAAAAGCGGTCTTCTCATTTCCAGGCATGGGCGGGGGCACGTACTCCACTGTAGTACACTGCGGCCAGAGCTCCCCGGGCACGTTCTGCTCGGAGATCGACGCATAATGATGCGGGAAACTGTTGCGCTGATGGCAGAACGGGCAGATCCAGATTTTGGCTTGGTAATCCACTGAGCAGAACGGGTTCAACACGCTCCGACAAGCTCTGCACCTCAGTGGTGCGTAATTTAACTTCGTCACAGGATTGCTGTGCGGTCCAGCTCCATGCAATGGCGTGTAGAGCGCAGCAAGCGGAATGTGACACTTGCTAGCGTCCAGCTTCGTGCTCGGCCACACATTCCACGACATACGAATGCCGTTCATGGCCTCGGCTTCCACAAATTCAGCCATCGCGAGAGCAATGCTCCTAAACCCCTCGAACCCGCAATCGAGACCAGCACTCTTCTAGAATTACCCACTCGAACCCCGTGCAAAACGATGCCTAATTAAACGATGCTGCGGGACGAATCCCTGATCAACTTTGCGGCAAATTTTCGTGTTGCTGAAGGAGCTCCTCAAAGTTCAACTGAGCTAGTTCCTCTCACTATAAGCCTTGCGGGAGAGACGACCGTTGTTTCTTCGGTTGGGCTCGCAGCCCCCACCCCTTGTTTCAACGGGGCCCTGGGTGCTTTTCCCACCCCACCTCCAACGGAGACCCTGTGGTTTCCGCGGGGTGACGTGGATTTCCCAGCAATTCAAGGCCGTGTCCTCATTGGAGGATGTGCGTATACCCAAAGCAGGGGTCTGAGTTGGACGTCCACGTAGGATTCGGAATCCCCTCGGCTTCTGTGGACGCGACTGTGCACTTTATTATTTATGGTCTATATTTGGATTTGAGTTTGACCAGAGTGTGTGTGAGTGTGAGTGTGTGTGTGTGGGTGTTTGTATTGTAATTTAAATTTGGAAGTGGATATCACTTTATTCATGTTGAAACAAGTTTGACTGACAAGCTACTTTTTTGTTCTTCTTTTGCATCGTTTCTATGACGTATTCAGGTTGAATTTTCATGCTTCTCTGTTACTTCTCTGTAGTTTTTAAGAATAAAGATGTTAAAATTTTCTTTTGTAGTTTTTAATTATTTTTTTATTTGGTGTATTTGTGATTATTTGCATAATTTTGATGGTGAGAATTTTCAAATAAAAAACGGCACAATAATTTCGAGATTTTTAATTTTTGAAATTTATTCAACTAAAATGTTTTAAAAATTTGCATACCTTATGTTTGATAAAATCAGACTTGAGAGACCACCAGTGTTTTTCAATATACTTTCTCCTCCTTGTCATGCATATTTTGATAGATAGTATTTTTTGGGAGCAATCTCATTGATTTCATTCATATAATGTAATCTTTGATATTTTATTGATGCATTGATATTAGTTTATGTTGATCCAGATATTGTAGATTACATTTTTATGCCTTCATTGGTGAATTTATTAAATTGGATGATGGCTTTCATGTTATTTTGCCAATATCATATTCTTTCTAATGTATTAAATATTTCCAATGCATGTGTTTTATCAATAAATTAAACATTAAACCTACAAATATGACAATTTCAGTTTTCTAAAATAGTTAGAAATACATAAATAGGTGCACACACATTCACACAAAGGAAAAGAAAAATAATATCATATTCTATCTAACTTGTTGTGAATTCAAAACTTATGTACTTATAAAACATTCATGTTCTTGTTGTTATTATATACAATTTGTTTGATCCTAATAAAGTTGTAATCACCCTTAATACCAATTTTTGTAAGAAAACTTTGCAAATTAAAACTCTTTCTATAATTTTTGGTCTTTGAATTAAAAATAGAACATAAAATTTTAAAATTATCTTGTTTAGTCTTTAATAACCAAAATAAATCTATAACTGATAATTCTTTCTTCTTGAAACATAGAATAGAAAATCTTTCCACTTTTATAAATGCTAAATAAAATATTCAGCTAAATTTTAAAATATATATTATTGTAATCTTGATAATTCAATTTTTAATAAATTTTAGCTTAATCTAAATAAAATTTATACTTTTTGGTAGTTTGATTGTACAAGCAAAAAATAGATATTTTATTAATATATTTAAAATAATTTATTAAAATAAATACTTAAAATTTTAATATATGATGGATAAGATTTTAATATTTTTTATTGATATAGTATAAATTGAAAATATTATAATTATTTTGGCTATTTGTGTAAATATTGTTAAGTTGTGTGAAATTCAACTTAAAAATGCATTTAGCATTAAGCTATGAAAGGATTTTTTTTAAATCTTAAAATTCTTCTTATAATCCAAAATACATGAGGTGTTAAGAAATTCTTGTCTTGACAATCTTAATTCTTTTAGAAATCCTTTTCTTAATCAATTCTAACTTCTCTTAAATCTAAATTACAAACTCATGCAATTATAAATTTTTAAAATAAAATCTTAAGCAAGTCTTAAAATAATCCTAATTAATTTCTAATCAAACCTTAAGCATAGGAAATCTTAAATAAATTCTAAAACAATCTTCACAAAATCCTATGCAAAGCAAATCTTGACCAAGTCTTGACCAAACTTTGATTAAATCTTGAAAAAATCCTAATCAATCCTAAGCAGATCCAACAACAAATTTAAAATCTTATAAATTTTTAAGCAAGTATTTATTCTATTCCAAAATTTGCACACTGTTTAAACTTTTGATTGGCAACAAGTTCAAGAAATTTAAGAATTTTACTTAGAATTTAAAAAGACAAAAAAAAAAACTACTCAGATATCAAGTAACTTCTTCATCTAACCTTAATATTAAATTTATACTTCTAAGATTTTGTTCTTCGATTATTAATTTTTTCTAAAAATTTGTGTAAATATTGGATTTTATGTTGTCAAGTTACGTAAAATTCAGCCTATGAATGCATTAGACATTTGATTGTAGAAGGGTTTTTAACCGTATTTCTAGATGGCTTTACTTGAATAATTTTCAATGTCATCTATATATCCTTTACTCATCTTAAAAAAATTGAGTGTGTTTTAATCTCATAGAAATAGACTCTATTAATACTCTTTAAGCCATTATAAACCTTAATCAAACATCAAAAAGAAAAAAAGAAAAAAGAAAAAAGAAAAAATTAAACAAATTTTAAACAAGCTTAAAACATCTTTGTAAAATTATAAAACAAACCTATCAATCTTTAAAAAAACCTTAATCAAACCTTAAAAAATCTTATTTAAATCCTAAAAAACTCCTAAAAAATTCTTAATAAATCCTAAAAAAAACTCTAGCTAATCCAAAAGAAACCATAACCATATACTTATTAAGATATTATATAACTTCTAACTAAATCCTAAAAAAATCCAAGCAAAATTTTAATAAATTCTAAAGAATTTCTAAATCCTAATCAAACCTTAGGAAAATTCTAACTAAATTCTAAATAAATCTAAACCAAATCTTAACCAATTCTAAAGAAAAAATTTAAAATCCTAATAATTTCTTAAAAAATCACTTATTTTACTTAAAACTTTGCACAATCTTTAAAATCCTAGTTGAAAGTATGCAGAAGAAATTTGAAAATAATTTTACTTACTAATTAAGATAAAATTCAGATATTTTGCTTAGGTGTTAAGCAACCTCTTTCTTCAACCTAAATTCTAAGCTCATACTTTTAAGATCTCTGTTTTAATCTAGTAGTTTCATTTTTATTTCTATTTTATAAATGTTGGTATTTATATCAACTACTAGTCTGCTAATATTCACTTTAATTTAATTGGAGTATTTTTACAAACCTAAGAAACTCGTACTAGCCTGCTAATCTCTAATTTTGGATACCAAAATCCACTTGAATTCCAATAATTTTTAATATATATATTTTGAATGAATCCAAATTCACAAAAAACTCTTAGCATAATTGTGGTCACAAACACAAATGTTTTTACTTATAGGATCCCTACATAATTCTAACAAAATCACCACAAATTCAAAATCATAAAAATTAATTCCAATAAACCTTGTCTTTAGTTATTTTTTTTTAATTTTACACTTAGATCAACAAAAAAGAAATCTTGCATTTGCCATATTCATGCAATTTTGTGTTTTGAGGTCTAGTTTTAACCTTAGTTCATAACCAGTTCTCTCCAAGTATCAATCTTAGTTTTTTTTAGGTAATTTTTAAAAAAAATTATCTTCACTTTTAACTAAAGATAATTATAGTATTATTTTTACTAATCTTTTTTTTTTTTTTTTTTTTTTTTTTTTTAAGGGCCCTAAAAAATAAATAGATATATTTTTAATAAAAATATGATTAAGACTAAAGTCTCTACTACTTCCTTATCTTTTACCTAAAATTTTTAATTTAAGTTTTTACTAAGTCTTCAATTAAGCTATTATTTAATATAAGTCTTTTTTTGATGTTTCATCTAATAGTCATATTAGAATATAACAATGTTAGGTTCTAACCAATAAAATTTCAGCTCTATTTGATAGGCAAATCTTTGTAAACCTTTATATCCTTATTAATCCTCTTACTACCAATTATCAATACTTAAATACATTTAAAATTTTAAAAATATAAATTAAAAAAATAATTGAGCTGAAATTCAAGTCACTCACTTAATACAAGTACATGCACAAACTTGCAAAATTTCATTTATGGATCTATTATAGAATTCACATAATTGTCCAAAATGTAGACCCTACTTTATTTTTTAAAAACAAAGTCATTGAAATAAATTTCTAATTTTTTTTAGTTGTCACAATGTTTGTAAAATTTAAATTATTTAAAACTAGTATATGTAAAATCCTTCTAAATTATTTTTTCTTATCTTAGTTTTTTATCAACAAAAAAGAAAACCTTGTACTTTCTATAGGCACTTGATTTTGTGCCTTGGGATCTAATTTCCACCTTGCTTTACAAACAATCCTCCTTTCATATCAATTTAGATTTTTTAGTAGTTTTTATTGAAAATTATCTTTAACTTTTATCTAAAGATGTTTATGGAAGTTTTATGTCTAATATACCTTATCTTGTTTTATTTATAGCAATACAAAGTAATTAGAATTTCTCTTAATAAAAAGACAACATAAATATTAACTTTGTTACTTCCTTGTAAATATTTTTAATATTATTTTGAATTTTCTTTTATTAAATCTTCAATTGAATCCTTATAAAATATTGGTCTTTATTTACACTTCCTTCTAATATTTGTGTCACAATACAACAATATTTTAATTTCTAAAAGTATAAGATAATATATTTTTTTCTATAATTAAGCTTTATTTATTTATTTATTTATTTCTGAAATTTAAACAATGTGATAGGCAAATTGTTAGAACTAAATAGTGTGTATCGGGGTAGAACAATGTTAAGCCTGAGTTAATTTTCCACATGATGCCTGAACCGTAAAGCTTCTTGAAGTGTCAGAAATGGGTGCGCAACTCCAAGCAACCCCACTACATTGCGACGCAAATGAAGACCAGCTGCTGAACAGAGATGGCGAAGATGAGCCTGCCATTCCTGCACCAGCCATCAAGCACGCCATCTTTCCTCTTCTTCCGACCTCTGCTGCAATTCAAATCCTTCCCGCCTCGACTGCTGCTGCTGCAGAGACGATTGAATTAGCAACGGAGCACAACGCAGAAAGCACAAATACACAAACACTCGCTCCAGTGGACAGACAATTCTCTCTCATGAGGAGTATGGCATTGGAAAAAACTGATACCAGAGAGATCCAAGCTTTTTGCCACTGAATTCAAACAAATTCATAGTTGAACAGATACTGTAACAGAGTGACAACGCCTTGAAAGACAACGCCAACTCAACTATGAAGCGACAACCTGCATGGACATTCAACATCAGGAATCCTCTCGGCTCGGCGTCGACAAACCCACTTAAACTTTTTAGTAAACTCAAACGTAACAAACTCTATTGTTTCTCGCACGAAACTCCACACCATTGTTCCGAATCACCAAAACCATAAGCTCACCTCGCAATTCATAGCGAACGTATGGAGCTGAAAGACAAAAATTCAATCAGTTGCAGCTGCGAACGAACGATGACAACCCAACTCGGAATTGAAAAAGTGTATCGGTCCACAGATTTTTGTGCAGCGACAACTAGATCCGCGGATTCGTCACTAGCGCCACGAATAATAAACATTGACTAAATTTTTCAAAACTAGAGGGTGCTGCTGCAGCTGCAGAGGGTGGATACGAATGTGATCAAAATGGATCAGAATTTTTGGAATTCACAAAATTTTGTGCTCAAATATTTGATATTTGACCACCAAAGTTGATTTTGAAACTTTGATTATTCATAATTTGGAACATAGTGCAAACTTCAAGTTCTAGCACTACCTTGTGTTCACTAAACTACAAATATGTGGAAGTAGTTGTGATTAATTTGATTAATGCAAGTTCATGTTCTAATATCATGATTTATAGTAAATGAGTTGTGTATGTGTTCACCTTATACATAAATTCATGTGTTGTTGAATGTTGATTCATAGACTTCCATGTTAACTTTAGAGGTTCTTTAGTTTGATGTTATGTTCTAAGGATTATATCTTTGTATTTATATTTATTTATTTATATATCTGTCTACCAATTTTTTTATTTATTAAAAATACTTGAAAGTTAATGATATAAATTTGAATAGTGAAATATATTTATATTCAACTTTTTAGAAAGGTTTGTATCAAGGCTAAAGAAAATCAGTTCCAAAGTAGGCATAGAAGAAGATTAATATTTGAAATTGGTTTTAAAATGGAATTAAGTAAAAGGTACTTCAAATATATTTGATAGTTTTGATAGTTCTAGTAATAATGAAGAGGTTGAGAAGAACAAAGATAGCCTAATCCTAGATAAGAGACTTAAATAATAATACTAAAAAAGAAAGAAGCTAAAGAAACTCACAAGAATTTTTGAATTTCTAAAGTTAAAAATTGTGACAAAACTACTATTTATAGGATTAATAGTGGACTTTAAATACAAGATATTATATGTGATAAGATTGTTCTCCTATGACTTTGATCAATTTCTAAGATACTTGATTAAGAATAGAAACATAATTTTTTTTAAAAAAAAACAATAAATTGTCCATTAACAATTGCCTTGAGGAAGAAAACTAAGAGAAAAAGATTTGACCTTATCGATGAAGTTTTGCATTACAATATTTATATTGTTGTTGTAGCATGAGAGAGTATCCATGCATGAAGAGTCCACCTAGTAGTTCTTTTTACTTAAAGTAAGATAAAATTTAGTTCTAAAATTTCAATACATTTATTTGTTTGTAAATCACCATATTAACTAGTTTTTGGAGTAGATTCACTTTAATCCGTCATTTAAGCAACCAAGGTTACATCATAAGACTTGAATTTAGTTGAGAAAAAAATTCTCTAATAAGGTAAGAATTAAGTTAGAGTGCACACAAACTTGGTTGTAAAAAAAAAAAAAAAAAAAAAAAAAAAAAATTAATAACAAAAGATGAAATGGAATATAAGACGGATTCAAGAAATATTATTAAACAAAAGAAAAAAAGTTGATAAATTAACACATTAATACTAATATATAAAGTAATTGTTGTTGTTTTATTAAAACCACAATATGCCATGTATATTGATTAAATTTTTTGAGAAATCATGCAAAATAACAACATAAGATTATTAACAGAGAATGCACTCTTAGTAGAAGATTTTTGTTCATGCATATTTTTACTGCCATACTTTTATATAGCATTTGAATATAAGCGGATTCAGATGAAATTAAATTTACTTCAGTAAAACTAGTAATTCAATTATGCAACTGATTCCTAAAAAATTCTTATTATAGTTCACATTCTTATTGGTAAGAAACAGCAATTAAGGACTTCAATGTAGGACATTGCACTTCATGTGTAAAAACTGATAAAGAAAAATAATCATACAAAGGAAACTTGTTTCTAGTTTTTGTCCGTATACTTGAATTAAAATTCAAGAGTTTTTAGATATTATATTTTAGAAAAGTTTCACAGTGAATTGTACAGTATTTACAGTCCAAAGTAGAAACCAAACATTTCTTAAGAAATTTTGCTATCCTTGAAAAACAATTACCGAAACTTTCCTGAACCGAGTATACTTTTGGCTCAAAGTTGTAAGTGTTGGCATATATATATATATAGAGATATGAGTGAAGAGAGTTTTTTTTATTGAAGTGATTTAGCAAGAACATAGATTTTAACACTTGATATCCTAAACAGCCTTGAGTTCGCCCTACATTGTCATAGAATCGGGGAAGCAAACAATGTGGCTTAGCTGGGATAGAACGTAGTCATTTTGCGAATGTTTCATCAAGGTTAACAGAAGAGCATTCCGAAATTTTCATCAGAAACATTGGTGGACACAAGTGGTTCCAACAGAGTTTTCAGGAGTTGTGGAAAAACTAAACATCTGCACAATGAAATGAAATGGTTTTACAGATATGATTTGAGTAATGCCAACTGCTAATATGCGCCGACTTAGGAGGATCCCAAAAATGGCAGCCATCCTGTTCTTAAAATGGTCTTGTACTCAGCATCCATTATCCTGCGGATATTGATGCTGAACTGCTTCACATTGTTGTACATATTCGGGACATAAATCAAATAATTTCGAGTTCAGGGATAGGTCCAGCTTCAAGTTTCAGCATTGTCTTGTTCCATAGCGACTACCATAGCTAGTCGGCCATAGACCTGCAAGGATTGCCCACCAAAGAGACAAAATTCATATCGAGATTTCACCTGTTACATTAATTAAATCGAATCATTTATCTTTTACAGGTTGATACAATGCATAATTCAACAACGAGTTCAGATTGTAGAATACCTCTGACATTCGAGAACAAACATTTTCACTGGAATCAGTGATCGACTCTCCATCTTCACGGCGTTCATTTGGAGATAGCACCTGCTAAATCAGACATGACTTCATTATTTCTGACGACACCCCAGAATTTAAAGGAAATACCTCAAGTCAATCACCGACACATCCAAGTTTATACCAAAGATAGGAACAGGCATGATACCTTTTTTTTAATTACTTGCACTCTATTCCTTCTTACTCCCTTGGAGCCTACTGGATTGACTGGAACAAAATCCTCGGGAGGAGAATCTGGGTCGAAGGACGAATCATACCTGCACCAGATTGAACACCCATAACGTTAAATCCAGCTCCTGGGCACTCCTACATTCTTACATAAAGAGATGGATCACTGTGGATAACTTACCAGTCTCGTGGCAGCCCAGCTAGTATACGTGCCGAGTGATTGAATGGCCCTCTCAGTTCCAAATCATCCTCCTTCAGTAACCCTGGATGAAGTTACTATCACAACAGGTCGTGTTACAAATGTACCTCAAATGCTAATGAACATGTTTGGTACCAGTGAAATTCTATGAGATAGTACTCGCTCGCCTTGTTCAAATGAACCACAGTAGAACTTTGTAAATCGAGGAAACTCAGGAATTTCGAAATAAACTACCTTGAAATCGATCCGCTGGATTCAATCCAAGCCGTCTGCAAACATCTATAAACCAAGCCACACCAACTGCAACATGACCAACTTCTTCTTCCGCAATGCGCTTGGTGATACTAGCACTTCGGGTGTCACCATTTCCCATCAGCCTGTCGAATAGCCTCGGGCCAGCATCTAATCCACGCGCTTCCTGTTTATCGAAACAGATCGCTTTATTTCGTACGAATACTTACAATGTATTTCACTTCGTGCTATGAACTGGTTCACATGCCGTCATTCAGTTCAAGTACATCAAAATTGAGGAAAAACACAAAGTAATCGAGTACTCGATCAAACTAGAAAATCCTGACGTACATTCTTAGACTCGAATATCAGCAAATGCCCTCTTCTGTTCAAGCTTAAACAGGACTTTAGTGTTTGCTGACAGGAGGATGCGGGATAACATAAATAAGGGTGCGCACCTGCATCATTGGGATGATTGCAAGTCTTGACATTACACTTCCTGAGGTCCTTTGACAATCTACCATCAGGAGATTATGTGCTGGCATATCACCATAGCTGTTCCCTCCAAGTCCAAAAACACACAGAATAAATTCTTTATAATCTTGTTGTCGCCGACAACATGATCAATAAAACAAACCCACAGTGCTGACGTAGTTACTTCACAAATTTCACATATCACCTCGCACATTTCTGAAAGTTGGACGTACCTAAACCCCATTTCAGCAAGCCGTTGAGAGCACCAGAGAAAATGACGACTCTCGTCGTCCGCCACATGTACGAAGTCTGCAAAAAATTGTCGATCGAGCTCTTCACTAGCGCCAGAAAATCTGACGACGGTATCCCAAGCTAGATCAATAGCATTCAATTCTATATGCGCCAAGTTGTGCAGAGCATGCGCGCTTGGCGTAAGGATTGTGCCTGAAGGAGGAGGAATTTTTCTCGGGTGAACCTGCAAATCTCCATGTCAAATCAACATTCCAATAATTCCCTCCTACACAATAGATTGAAGAACAAACCTATTCTGACAAAGACTCTGCTTTCAAGCTTTGAACACGGTGACAGTTGGCTCGCAGCATACCGGAAAAACCCTTACGGCTTGAACTCTGTTTCTGAGATGTTTTAGGACTTTAATTTGGGCACGAAAGTAGCGGAGAAGACAATCATGCACTAAAGGTTTGACATCCCTCTAACTTTCTAGGAAGAACATACTCTAAGTGGTCGCTTGAGAGCTGGACTTTCAAAGAGGTTTAACTATTTTCACAAAGAGAGAAAAAAAAAAAAAAAAAAAAAAAAACATGTCGAGGAAGCAATGTACAGAGTTTTACCAGCTCAGGCTTATTAGGGCGCGCAGGGGAATCAGGAGCTTCCGCAACCCCCAATGGGAGCTCGCCATTGCACCAAAGACGATACGCGTGGTGGGTAAACACAGCCTTCTCAACAGGGTCCGCAGTACCAAGCACAATTGCGCCCCACTCCGCAAGAGATAAATCTCTCTTCTCAGAATTTAATCCATCAACCTTTGCTTCCGAATTTTCCAGCTTCTCCCGATGCAATTGTAAAACTTGACCGGCATTTGCTGTCTTCGCAGCCAATTTGGTTATGTCCTCCCATTCATTCCTGGAAGATGTAGGACCTCGCTTCCCCCAAAGACGAAGTTCGTTCACAGGATTAGTTCGCCATTCCGGCAAACCCACCCACTCCTGAGCAGGTGACAACACGCGAGCTTCTATGCACGCGCGTGATTGCACCGACGAGAAGTGCAGCGTTCTTGGTCCACGGCGAAGGCACTGGTACCCAATTGCAACAAATCCACTGCGCAAAAACCCACATATTCCACTCTGCCGGAAAAAAAAACTGCGCGGGTTCGAAGCAGCTTGAATAGACCCACCAGCCCAAGACAAACCTCCAGACATGCCCACAGGGTGTACCCAGCTTTTAATTGATTGCATCTCCGCGAAACCACTCCGCACCTCTACTATTCCTTTTCAATCCCGCAAGTGTCTCCGCCCAATACACGTAAACCTCACCCAAAATGCTTACAACCAAACTTCTACCATCAGCTTCACAACTCCCATGAGCAGCTCCCCAACCCACGCTCACCACTGCGGATCATCCTCAACAACCCAGCAAAAAGGCAGCAACCGCTCTGCGTTCCATGAAACCCAAAAAGCCCAAAAACTACACTGCCACTCAAACCCCCAACCCACAAACTTCTCCACGAACCCAACGATCCACAGAACGAAACACTCAGATTAATTCCCACATACTCAATAATGTCGAGGCCATTCTAATCACGGATCCAAACTCCCATAAGCGCAATAGAATCGACTTCACATGCACCGCGGTAAAATGCTTCTAAATTCAGCCGAGCAGTGAGGTGAGGTTAGCAAGCATGGCTTGTGAGACAAGATGTGGGTCTCCGAAACAACCAAGCCCGGGCTTCCAAATGATATACAACTTTCGGGGGTGCATCGACTCGGGAACCTTACGGGTGTGCGCGTCACGATGGTACAGACTCTCTCGTGACGTGGCCGTTCATCCGGAACGGAATATGCACACGAAATTCGTTTCCGTGGCTGAGAATTTGGGGATTGCCTTGATCGGGGTCCGGGTCGTGGTCGTAGTTGATGTCGACCTCTGCGTTACCGCGCTGGTGTCGATGCCCATCGTTACCCGCCATCGCTTGAATGCTAAGCAAGCTTCGCCATCGCTGAAGAGTGCCTGCATCGCCGTCGTCTTCCATAGACATATATTACTCGCGACGCTGCTTTCACCGCATCGCATCCATGCTTTCGCGCTCTACATCTCTGTCTATATCCCTCACCCCGATTATCACCCCCTAATCTCATGTTTTCTTCAGTGTCATGCTCCTAAGCTCGTGTTTGTTTTACGATTAAGGCCTCTAATTTCATGTTTTCTTTGGAATTTCTTGCCTCCAATATCATGTAATTATGGATCCTGATATCCTGTTTCCTCTGGTATCTCATGCGGTTATGATTATGTTTTTTTTCACGATTAAGGCTCCTAATCTCAGGTTTGCTTCAGCATTTTGTGTCCCTTGTGTCCTGTTTTGTTCACAATTAATACCATTAATCTCATGTTTCCTTCAGCGCTTTACGCTCCAAATCTGTGCCATTTTTTCAGTTGCAGATTGTGAGGGAGTATATATAGTTTCTTAAAATAATTTATGTTGAGGTGTTTGTTTATGAAGGAATTGCAACAAGTTTGAATAGTGATGTCAAGTTTGAGTTGGAAGTGGTCTCTATGGTTGGATACCAAGCTGATGTTTTGTAAATTTTTGTTTGTTGTATTACATAAGAAAATATACTTAATATAATACGATTTTGGTTTGTAATATAATTTTTATTAATTTTATTTATATTTTATTATTTTTTACAAAGATTGTATGATTAGTTTTTTTATAATTTGGTGCAAATAAAGAGAACCATTAGGTAGACACCACCTTTTACTGTGTGGACATTCCTATTTTAGTGTAGATATCCTCACTTTGGTTTGATAAATAAAATAAAATGAATGATCATCATTTGAAATTGTGTTTAAATACTCTTGTATTTGTTTGCTACTTGAATTTTAGAATGAACAAAATCAACTTTGTAGACATCTAAAAACATACAATATAATCAAGTTCTATAAATTTAAAAAATAAAAAATAAAAAATAAGTTTAAAACATGGTTGCTATTTTAGACTATATTACAATACTACAAACTTATGGTAGCTATAAGGTCTCAATTGATGGTAATCATTTATTGGATAAAAGAGAAAAATAAGTATTATACTATAGAAGAGCTCAATTGAATAATATAATAGTAAATTATTTTAAAAAAACATAAGTAAAAAATTGAGAGGTAGTAAAAAAATTAGTATTATTATTTCATTTGTGTAAAAAAAATTATACTTACTTATAAGGCCATGAATAAGAAAAATAAAGTAGATTAGCTAAATTAATATAGAGGCATCTTTGGATAAAAGTAAAGATTAGCTTTAAAAAAATTACTTGTAAAACTTTAAGATTGATATCCAAAGTAGACTCTTGAGAATCAAGGTTGAAACCAAATCCCAAGAAACAAAATTGCACACTCTCAAGAATTCTGAGTTCTTTTTGTTGACTAGAAAGTAGAATGTGAGAGCAAACCTAATAGAGTTTCTTTAAGCATCAGTTTAAGAGGATTTGAGTGGATTGGAATGGATTATGATTTGGTTAAAACTTTGCAAAATCAAAGTTGTTTTTAATGATTTTGGATTTTGTGAAATAAAAAAGAGTTTATATTTTTTAAAAAATTGTCTAAGTTTTGTATTAGTTATGAAATTAAATATATGTAGATTTGTAAAAATAATTATATTAGATGTATGTTGTAAATATAAGCTTAATTAGATAATTAATTCAATGGTTATTAAAATTTAAGTGAATTAAGATAATGAAATCGGATTTTAAAGGTCAATAAGGATTTTTATTATTTTGAGCAATTTGGTGATTGGGTTGATGTATTTTAATATGAAATAAAAGTTGAATTTATTTCTAACATCTAGGTAAATTTTTTGAAGCAAATAAATTATTCAAAAAAGTAATATTGATGCTAGAATATTGACATTAAGATTAGAAAAAAAGACAACTAATACCTAAACAAATGAGAAGGTTTTTTTTTCAACTTATAAGATTTTTAGCAATCTCAATAGCATTTTCAACCTTCCTACTATTGATTTGGCAAATAATTACTCTTTTATCTATTATATTGAGTTTCTTTGGTTTACCTAATTTAAGATTCTTTCTATTAAAAGTGAACTTTTTTACTAGCCTAAAAATAGTAGCTTTATTGCAGCCAAGTTCAAAAGCAATTTGGCCATAAGATTTTTGAAAATGAAGAAGAGCAGGGATAATGTTCTTAGAGAGAGTAGAGAATGGATCTCATAGTTTTTTAAGGAATTGTCAAGGATAAAAGAATCTAACAAAGACATATGTCAAGATTAAAGACAATGAATGACATTGATAGCAAAAGTGATTCCAAAGACTTCTACTTATATTATAATGAAGGTTACAAAAGTCTATGGTACTTTCTATGGAAGTTTTTAGAAGTCTAAAGAGGCTTCTAGAAGAGTATGGAACTTTTTAAATGATTGTGGAAGATTCTATAAGTATCTAAAAGGTTCTAAAAATTTGTAAAAGATTTTAGAAGGTCCTAGAATATGATAATTTGGAATATGTCTATGTCAAGAATTGTGCTTTTATAGCTGCTAGTAAGTACTAATGATGTCATTAGATTAATAATAATATTATCATAGTAAATTTGATGATGATAAAATGATATAATGTTGAGTAATTGATAGAATCCAAAAATTAGACACCACATTCAAAAAATTGTTTTAATACTATTCCAAATTAAATTGGTCATAGCTCCACAATTACCAAATAGATTTTTTTCAACCTAGGTTCATTTGGTAGCTGTAAAGGAGTACTTTATTTGCTATATAAACCACGTGTCATTATTCACTACAATTCATCAATAATACACCATTCTTTCTAAAATATGTCAACATTAAAATAATTTTTTGAGTCACTATGTAATGTCTAATAGAAGTTATATATGTATTTAAACACTCTTTTAGTATTCTTATTTAATTACATAATATATTAATCTAATTTAATTATTTTTGTCATTTTTTTGGATTTACAATACTTTTCACAATTTAGACCTTTGATTAGAATATTTGCAACTATATCTTAAATTGAATTTACTATATATTAAACTAAAACATATATCTTTGGTAAAATATATATATCTTTGGTAATATATTTAGTTTAATATATATCTTTAGTAATATCTATTTTAAGTCAATTTTACTTTTTTTAATCTTTTTATCATCAAAGTGAAGTTGAAATTTGATATTTTTTGTACAAGTATAGAATATAAGATTTCTTGAAAAAAAAATATAACTTTAATTTTATTAAAAATAGTCATAGAGTTGTATTCATTATGAATAGTTTTTATATACTTTGCTTTAGTAGTAGACAATGAAATTATTGGTTGCATTATCCTATTCTATTTAATAGTACCATCAGCCAATAAAAAAAATATATCCAATAATTGAATGTCAAATATCAATGTTTCTTGCATAATCTATATTGAAATAATCTACTACTTGCAAATTCAAAGAATTTTTTTTGTATTAAAGCACATAATTGAATATATCTTTTAAATATTAAAAAAATATCTTTATAGTAATTCTATGTTGTAAGTTAGAATTTACTATGTATTTTCTAACAACTTCTATTATATATTATCAAGGATATGAATTTCAAAAAAAAAAAAAAAAAAAAAAAAAAAAACTCAATATATTCTTGTATCACTTGAAAAGACTAAAAAATCACTTAAAGATAGTATAGTATTAAACTAAAATAGATATTATCAAAGATAAGAAGACTAAAAAGTCTTGAAACAAGACTAAGGACTAAAAAGACATTGATAAGAGTAAAGAAGGCTTTCTTCTTATCTCCATATATACTTTTTCACTAGGAACTACATGGTGATATTCTATAGCACCTCTAATATGTGTTGATTTTGTTAGACACATGATTTAACTTGTAAGGCAAGTTATCTATATGTACGCGACATAGTTAGCTTATTTCATAAGCTACTAATATATGTGTTACAAGGATAATTTGTTAACTAAGTTTCTAGCCTATCAATTAACTATAAATACATGTAAAGCCAAAGTAATGTCTACTTATGAAATTAATCTATTTTTATTTATTTCTATTTAATTATATAGGTAATTATTGGAAAAATTATATATATATATATATATATATATAATATTATCACCTCTTTTAGGAATGAGTTTCATAAAGAATAGTCATCATATGTTGAAGAAACCTAAGATGCAACAAATAGTATTTGCTACATATCCTAATCTTTGTTCTTTTTGAAGATAATTGATAGGTCTTTTTAACCATTGATAATATTGTATACTAAGGAAAGAAGACCACCTTGTTATTTGATCATTGTTGAGACCTTCATAACTCCTTTCAAATAAAACATTTGAAATACTGTCAAGAGTCATTCCTATCTCTAACAAAATCACCAAATATTGAAAATATCTTCTAACGTCATGATACCAAATACATTTTCATATTATATGAAGTTTTGCTTGAGAATGCATTAGGTAATTGCTTTTAGAAGGTAAAAGAAATTTGTAACAAGTCTTAATAATTCTAATAGAATCATATATAAATTATAATTAAAACTTAATAAATATAATCAAATATTGATCAAGTCCAATTAAATTTTCAAATAAATTATAAAAAAATACAAAAAAATCTTAAAGAAATTCTAAAGAAATTATAAAAAAAAATTAAAAAATCTTATAGAAATCTAAAAGAAATCTACAAGAATCTTTAAAAAATCCTTATGAAATTCTAAAAAAATCCAAA